GATGATGATATATGGAAAATTGTGGAAGATTGTGCAGGTAGTTTGGGTTGAATTATAGAAGCATCCTGTCTAGGACAGTGTGTTTGAAAGAAGGAACTGCTATAATGGGCAGTAAGGTGCTGTGTTTTTTTTTGTCTTCAGAATGTGTTACAGAGAAACATTGATCTGAGTTATGTATATGTTTTCAAATAGCTTTACTTTTCAGAATCAAAATAGTGACAGAATTAGATAGCTGTAGCACTAGTCTAGCTTTTTGCAGTTTGTCAACAAGCTTTCGTGATATGTTTTCAGGTACTATTGGAAATTTATAGAGGACTTGAACTAAAACTTCTCGTTAAATTTTGCATGTCTTTGACTTCTTTATTTCTCCCATTAATCAAGTAAACTACTAAAATTGTTTCTAAGAACTGATATTTTCTTTTCAAATATTAAAGGACTTCAAAAAATAGCCTTTTAATATCCATCTTTCCATAGTGGAAAGAGAAGTACTTTAGTGAAATGGGTTCAAATTCCATTTCATCAATTTCCAGAATTTTTAAAAAAATCACAAACAAGTTATTTGCCTTCTTGAACTTCAGTTTTTCCATCTTTAAAAGAGTGTCTGTAATACCTGCCTGGTTGCATTATCTTGGGAAATAACTATGATGAGAATCTTCCAGAATGAAGTAAGAGGCATAGTCAATGTTCTCCCTTTTACAAGGTGTCAAATGCTAAGTAGTAACTGTAGTTTAAATCTTTTCTTTCTTTCTTTTTTTTTGTATTATTGAATGACAGAGGTTGTGTGGTCATCTTTACTTAATCAGGTCATTGTTAAATAGTGTTCTTGGTGTTCATCTTGCAAAGTAGAAAAACATAATGGGTTATTTACATATATTAGTGATGTAATGATTTCATTACTTTGAGAACTGTATCATTCTAGTTTTCTTCTTATCATTGCCTCAGGAGGCTTTTATAAAAAGTGTTTCTCAAACCCAAGGTTGGTTGGTGGTTATTAAGTATGTGTTTACACATTATTATAGTCTTAAAATCTTAAACCAACTACCGCTTACAGCATTGAATTTAAATTATTTATTCATGGTGATGTGCTATAGAAATTAATCTATATTGATGAGCTTATAATACTTTGGCAAAGGCCATTGTCCTGTCCATTCTTCAACAGGTTATATATCTTATTTTTAAAAAGTTGTTTACTTTCTTATGAAGAATCTTAAATTATGTTTAAAATATAGGATTTAGTCTCATAGGAAAACAGATATAAATATGAAAAGACTCCAGAATTATAATTTAGCTAGAATATCAAATCTAAATAATTTTAAAAAGCATTTAAGTTAATGGCAAGAAAGTGGCAGGAAAGATACATAATTATCTATAATAGTCTTTTTCAAAGATTTTATTTATTTATTTTTAGACAGGAGGGTAGGGAGGGAGAAAGGGATGGAAGAAACATCAATGTGTGGTTGCCTTTCGGGCACCCCCTACTAGGGGCCTGGCCTGCAACCCAGTCATGTGTCCTAACTGGGAATCGAACTAGTAGCCCTTTGGTTCTCAGGCTAGCACTCAATCCACTGAGCCCCACCAGCCGGGTCTAATAGTCTTGAAGGCATACAGTCAGAGACTTTTATTTCTAACTCTGACACCACCTACCTTAGTGGCCTTAAGCAGATCAAAAACCTTTATGCGAATCAGTTCCCATTTCTGTAAAAAAAAAAAATGCAGTGGCTATTAGACCTACTCAGAGAATAATTTGGAGAAGAAAATGAACAAAAAAGAGTGTTTACTCACACTTAGCCAGCCTGAGGGAGACAAAACGGGGCCCTGCATCAATCATCTTTAAGAGTTGGGCTCTCCAGTTGCACCACGTAAACGACCCTGAGGGGTGTATCTCCTTTACATGGATCTTGAGTTCTCAACTTAATTCTAAGTCGAATCCAAACTGTGGTACCAGAATACTCCAGACCCAAATCACTAAAACGTTTTACAGTTGCAGAGAAAAGAATAAGTTACCTTTTAGCTATTCTCTGTTCTATTGAACTGTGGTCTTCAGAGCTTTCAGTTGGAGGCTTATTATTGATTTGATCCACACTGTATTTTTTAAATGTACTTATTTTTTAAAAAACATTTTTACCTTTTTTTTGGTAACAGAATTACTCTTTCTCTTGAAAAATGGGTCATAAGTAAAATCCTAAATCAGAGTATGATGGTGCATGGTAGACCATTACTACAATGTCTAATAGAAACTTCACTCTCCCAAAATAATTTTGCAGGATACTAGTTATCCCGCAGAGGATTTCCTTTATCCTTCCTTCTTCTTTTTCTTCTTCTGCTCCTTCTTCTCCTTTTTCAAACTTACTTTAATGTAACAGGAAAGGAACCATTAAAATCTGAACACATTTTCATTAATAGGGAAGTTATAAACCAATAAATACAAATTCTTATAAGAATATTAATCCCAAATTATTCTGCCATTTTTAAATTGCTCAAGTGATGACAACCGCAAGAATTGCAATATGGATCAGATCAAATTTCAGTGTAAATAGTAGTTTTCTTTATTTTGTATATTTAACCATTCTTGTGCTTAGTTATTTTTCCTTTTGTCAAAAGAACCAACTTGCTGAATTTCACATTTCTGTTTATGCCTATAACTTGTTTATTTCCAAAACAGCTTGAAGTGGCTTATAATAAAATCAGAGATAAAATAAAACCAAAACCTGTTAGTCCAAATTTAAAAGAATTTTTGTTTGGTTTGTCTTTATGTCATTGATTTGTTTGCATTGCTTTGAATGATCTGTAATGCCTTAGAAAGACAGCTGATGTTCAGATCTCAGCTCCTGCACTTGTTAGTGTCAGAGATAAACTAGATGGACACTATTTAAAGTGGTAAGGATAGATTTCTTCAATAGTAACTATCAATAGGGAAGGGGGTCCAATGTGAACCGAGCTCAACTTGCTAAAACAAAAGACAGACCTTTTATTTTAAAGGCTGGGCATGTTAAAAGAAAGGCACTGAGGGGTGTTGGTGGGGCTTGGTCCATGTAACTAGGCCATCTGGGTTTGTTGATTGGCACTTACTCAGAGGAAAAACAAGCTTCTCAATCTATATGACAGGAATCAGTGATATAAGTTAGAGCAAGGCTTTCAGTGGCTAAGAATCCAAGCAGAATTACTCTTTGAATGTGAGAAGACAGTTCTTGGTGGTAAAAGATTTAGATCTCACAGAGACAGAGAAAAGATTAGTTGCCAGCTTTCTGAAGAAACTGTGCTAAGAGGAGGTTCAGAAGTCTGTCTTCCTACTGTTTTGAGGTTTTGGTTAGGAGAGACAGTAAAGTTACTTAAGCTTGGTTTGCTTCAGTTTCCTTATCTCTAAAATGGGGATGATAAATATTACTGATATCATAGGAATGTGTTATGAGGATTAAAAGAGGTAATACATGTCAAGTGCTTGAACAGTGCTGGCAGATACTCAGCTCTCAGTGTTATTATTCTTAGTATCTTTAAAATGGAGTTCATAAGAGCATCTATCTACCATACTGTATTGTTTAATTTAGTAAATGATATAATACAAATAGAAGATTGAGAATCATGCCTGGCATATTGTAAACATTCAGTAACTGTTGGATAGATGTAGTAATAGTAGCAACAGCAGCTATAGTAGCCACTAAATATCTTCAAGTAGTGATTTACTCATAGCTGAGGATGAACAAATAAAAAAAATCTTGAGCTTACTATTTTTTTGTTAGAACAGTATAGGAATATTTTTTAAATGAGTAACTCAAAGGTTGGAGAAATATTTATGAGCAATTTTGTACATGATTGTGAGATCTTTGAGCATTATTTTGCCAATATATTTCTTGGGGTTTGGATACATGGTTCACATCTCCAGCATTTCTGTGGCTTAACCTCCTTACCATGAAACCTTCAACATTTCCCGGTATATTTTCTTCTTAGCAAAGTAAGAGGGAATCTAAATAACTATAAAAACCTTTAAGAAATGAAACAGTGTGCTCAAGTGAGAAAAATGGCATGTACAGAAGGAAGAATGAAGACTGAATCATATTTCTGTAATTCTTCAACTTCTTCTGTAATTATAACAACTTCTTTGATATGTATTTGAACCTCCTTGAATCCCATCACCGAAATAAAATAAGATATAAATTCGGTAATTTTTGGCCTTAACCAGTAGGTTTAGAGAAACCCAAATGATCTCTGTTCATATTTGTGTAGTCTCTGGATCCAGCCCTGTGCAATAATAATTCATGAAATATGAATTATTAAGTGAGTTGTCTCTATTTACAATGGGTATATTATCAACCATAGGACACCTCACTGAACCTGGATTTCCATTAAGGAAGTGGTATGCGTAGATGAACAGGAGCTCATTCTCTCTAAATTGCATTTTTTATCACTAAAAATTGTTGGTGTTAATGTATTTGATAGCAGAAAAGTAACCATTTAGATAAAAGACCAATAACTGGAAAAGATAGAATGAGTTACTGTTAATTTGTTCAATAAACTACACAGAATTTTAAAGTAAGAAAAAATAACCAAATGTAATATTATATTTTAAGACCAACTTTTACTCATTGTACATCTTTAATTAATGTTTTGGGGAATTGTAAAATGATTCAGGAAATTAAATCCTTAATTATGCAAATAGCAAATACAGTCAAAACAAACTGCTACCATTTTAAAATCAAATGCAATTAATTGTTTCACTCTTCATCTAAACTTCTAAAATGTTGCCTTTCAACTGACATATTAGAAATATTACTCATGATGAATGACTTTATAAACAGGATTTGAAGAGTCTTAAAAACTTTTAGAGTACCTAAGAACTAGAGTTAGCCCCTCCACTAACCTGGCATCCAGCGTGCAGCAGGCAACTGTACCTGGCTGGTCCACTAGTTCTTTTTCAGTCATACAGCTCATTCTTTGACTAGTTATTATTTCTTTTTTACTAGCAGCAGTTTAATTTGTATCTTATATCTCTCTTTCTTTAATAGTCTGATACATACTTCTGCATGTCAATGCGTTTGCCAACGGATGAGGAAGCCTTCGTGAGTAAGTAATGATTGCATGGGGATCATGGTTGGCAGTTGAAGGGAGGGAAAGCTATTTGAAATCAGTGAAAGGTTCTCTTTGATGGATATGAGTGTATTAATCTTCTACTGTCAGTTTCTAAAATGCATCTATCATGTCTAATGCAGAAACAAACTAGAGAGAGCCACTGAGAGATAAGATTACAAACCATATCTGGAGAGATTCATGCATAATAGTAGTTAAGGAGTTGCATGCACATGTCAATGGCTGCCAATACCATGTGGTCCCATTTGTACAGTATTGGCTTTCTGTCTGTGGCTGGATGCTTAATTCTGCTCCACTCAACAGACTGTTTATTTACTTGCTCTGTCATACTGTAAATCGAATGCACTTAAAATCAGCTTCAGAGAATGTAATATTTTGCCTGTCAGACAGGTAGTTGGATAGGAAGGAAGGAAGGAGAGATTAAGAGAAGAGAAAGAGGGATGGTGAGAGGATGGAAGGAACATTGTTCCTGTTGTCTATATCACAGAATAAGGGGACTCTTAAATGGCAGGCCCTTCCCTAACTGGATCTTTGAATCAGATGGGAAAAAGTGACAGAGCACCATCTGTTTTCATCTAGGTTGTTTTCATTTAAACCTCCCTTATGGCAGACTTTTAACTATTTAGGGAAGAGGTATGATGGCAGATCATTCATGCATCTGTTTTTTTTTTTTCCTCCTGCTTCACTTTTCTGGTTTGAAATGTTGAGGTTGGAAAGAAAGCCATGATAATGCGAGTTGTACTTGGGTCCCTTGGAACTAATCTTCAAGTGGGCTGTCTGAAACAGCTATATGGGGATTATGCAATGTATATTGTAGCCTTGGGGCCGTCTGAGGATGAATTTCCATGAGGTGCTCCCCATGGGAATATACATTATAGATCTGTAAACCCAGAGCAATGCACACTTATTTTTTCCACACACTTTGGTGGTAATCACAACAGAAAATACACCTATAACAATAGTCTATAAACAAAATTGCCTCGATAGTTTAAATTTCTAAAGATGAAAATCAGATCTTGGTAAATTGAGCATTGCTGATTTTTGTTACTTTGTGTAATAATTGAAAATTACCAAGGAGAAAGGAAGGGCAGTATTCTCAGATCCTGAACTGTGAAGACAGGAAAATAATTTAAGTTCCTAACTGTAGTATTTTGAGCAATACCAAATGTGATTTAGAATATAAATTTATCATTAAAATGTCAACATTACAGATTTCCTCAGTTTCATATCCACATGATTGGAAACCAAGGAGAAAATAATAATTACTCATAAAAGATTTTATATGTTTTTATTTTTTACTAATTTTATGTTTTCTTTGTCCAAGTTCAGAGATAGTTTTGTTTCCTCCTGTTTCACAATTGCTTTAAATGGAAGGCTGCTCTGCCACTCTGTTCATGCGAAGGTCGTGTTCACAACAGTACTACAGGTCTCATGCTGACAGGTTACTGGTTTGTTTCTGGAGGCTGGAAGTAGTGTATGGTTTCAGAGCTGATGACTGTAAGGACTATAAATATGTATCCTGGAATGTATTACTGTTCCCAATATAAATGTTTACTTTCTCATAATTTAAAATTGAAAAGTATAAGTGAATATATTCAGTCAAGAAAAATATTCACAGGAGACACATAAAGGACTGTATGAGAACCAGGGTACTAAACTTCCTTCATTTTGTTGGACAACTCTCATTCTAAGACTCAACTGTTGTCAGTTCTAAGGTCCTTAATGGATCTTATAAGATTAATAACTAATTTCAGTATTCCTTCTCTTTATTGCTGGGAGAATTACGTGAATACTAAAGATTCTGTCATCTTTACAAAGCAGTTGTTTCATTTTCAGTGTGACTCCTTTGCTGTACTACCCCAAGGCATTTTGTGGTTACCATTATTTGCATAATCCAGCAGTCACAGAAATTTAGGTGTAGGCAAATTAAAACTAGAAAATTGAAAACCAAAGAGAAGTACCAAAAATTATTTACATAGGAATTAGGTAAGGGAAATTTGGCATGTATCATCTCATTAATTCTTAGGACAACCCTGAAGTTAGTCCCATTCTATAGGAGAGAAGCAGGAACACCAGTGATTCTGGTTTAATTGGGTGCTAGGACAATAGTTTGTATAGAATCCCTGTTTAAATAATCAGCCCACCACCAACCGTTGTTTATGCAGAGCCTGCCAGACACTAAGTTGCTGAAAGCTAAGATATTTAAGCCATTTTACTGAAGAGGAAACACAGAATCAGAGAGGTTAGGAACATGCCCAAACTTTTTACTAGCTATGTGATACCCTCCTTGTATGATATTGAATCCTAACAGATATGGTGTGGGGATAGTGGAACAAGGAAGAAAGAAAAGAAGTTATCAAGTGGATAGACAGAGCTGATACAGAGCTATAGCACATCTCTGTCTTCCCACATCATATACTATTATTCTTTCATTCCTTTACCTTCATTCTCTACTGGAAACACTCTGGTCAGTTTTGCTAAAAAGTAAGTAAACCTCAACCCAGCTTACAAAAGAAAACCCAATACACATGAAATTTTAAAAATTTACAGAAGGAAAAAAGCTTGGATATTTAGGTTGTATGTTGGAAGAGTGATCATACATAGCTTTTCCAGACTCCCAAAGTGAAAGTTTAGTAGGGGTAACCAAAGCTTTTACACAAATGATCTTTTTGTGGGTTATCCCAAATTCTAGAGTGCAGGGTGCTTTATCATAGGATTATGTATGGTTGGAAATGAAGACTGTAAAAGCCTATAATATTTTGTTTATTCTTTCCTTCAGAAACTTTTGTTATTTTATACCTTCTGCATGTATTACCTATGCCTTTTAAATGTTTGGATGTCAGCAGGGTATGTGCCACAGGGTGTATAGGGACTCAGCAATTGCTTGTTCGATATGTGAGTGAACTCTGAAACAGTGTCTTGTTTGGCCATTTTCTAAGGTTCAATATTGAATAGTAGCCAATTTACCTTTTTGCCTTAAATTATACTCTTGTTTGAATATAAAGAAATAAGTGTTTTTAAAGAAAAGTCACTATTCATAAATTCAGCAAACTTTTACAATTCTGTGCTGTTCCGGTTAGTGAGCGAGGTGATGGTGATGTGAGCCGTGACACAAACTCAAGGAAACCCCAGCCTGGTGGAATTCTGGAGACAAGACTACAAATGCTAGAACATTTGAAAGGACTTTCTCCCTTTGCTTTTCAGATTGCTGAACAAAGTAACAAAAGGAAGAGTATAATTTGGATTGCTTTTTCGGACTAACGCACAGTCTCTTAATGGTGTTAAAAGCCAAAGTTGCATTTGAATAAATCATAAGTTGGGCTTTCTGCTTGCGTGACTAATTGAGTTACTCATTTTAGACACACATACTTTTTAATTTTGAGAAAATCCCATCACAATTCTCATGGAATTTATATGTGCATATGCCTGTCATATTTACATATGAGCATACACAACACTTGATGTGTTTATTAGCCTGTTTTGAATTATTGAATGCAAAAATTAGGTGTTTGGGGAAATACTAGAATGAATATAAATATAATTTTTATATTTTGAAGAAAGTCATAGCTCTCCCTAGAGCATTGCTTTTGTTTATTGTTTTAATAAGAAATCCCAGAATTGGAATGGGTGAAGGCATGGTAAGATCTGCATTTGACCACCAAACTGTGATGCTGTCTAAAAGGTGTTTTACAGACACTCAAAAGAATTGGCTCTGACAGCAGCCCACTCAGCCAAGAAATTTGACTGTCATCTTCATCCACTGGCTTTCGCTCACATGGGTGACCAGTAAATAAATGTGTCTTTTCCTTAGTGAGTGATGGTAGGTCCCTATCTGCCAACATGCACTAGACAAATGAAATAGGAGCCACTGAATTTAGAAATAGATGAAATTAATCTAATGATTCATTGCTTTTCATTTTCTTTGGACACTGCCTTGAATATAGAACAATTTCTACTGCAGATTTGCACAGACTTGAGTATCTCCAAATGTGACCTTTCTTAAATAAAGCATACATTAAGATGATGTTGGGATATTTCAAAACCTAAAGTAACAACCTAATTTTGATCAAGTTTATGGTTTACTATATAGTGAGACTATATATATAAGGATCAAGTCCTGACACAGTTACAGGGCTCATATTACCACATTTTATGGCTTTGACAGCAGTAAATAAAAATGTGTGTGTGTGTGTGTGTGTACATGTGTGTAAGTTCCCATCCCACCACTTTGTCACCTTTTTGCTTCCAATCAGTTGACTGCATATTCTTCCCTTTCTCTCCCACTTAGGATTTTCTCTGACAAAAATAATGTAGTTTCTGTCTTCCACATGACCATTGGGTAACTTCCACCAGGCACCCTAGGAAGGTGTTCTAATTTCATAGTGACAGCTACTTGGAGAGAGCTGAGATAGCACAAGTAAGATTCACTATACGAGGATCTCTAATGAGTGGACAAAACATAATTTGCTTGGTCATAATCATGAAGGAGAAGCTGCTGCAACAGGCCCTGTCTCGGGGTGTTTCCTAAATGTCCTCTATCCTGTGGTCACCTAAAAAAATACCCGTGTTTCCAACATGCCCTGCAATGAACCTCAGGGTTTCTCAGGTAATAAAAAACGGAGGGGGAGGAAAGGAATCATGTTATTATAATTTATAAAGCTGAGATTTAGGAATGTCTTTAATTAGATAGGTCTACAAATTATCAAACAAAACTGATGGATGTTACTTAGACTTATTGTAGTGATGATTCCACAATATATAAAAATATCAAATCATTGTGTTGCGCACATAATGATTTGTGCAAATCAGGAGGCTGAGGCTGCCTGAAACAATTATAATGTTATATGTCCATTGTATCTCAATAAATAAATGAATATACACCAACACACAAAGTAACTTGTATGTGGACAGCGTTGCTTTAATGCAGTAATGTCAAAATGCCACTACACCACACCCCCAGTAAAATGGCCAATTCA